AGACTTTGTCAGGATAAATAAAATCCTGCTCTTAAAATGTCTTTGTGATAGGCATAGATATTGATATGCCAATATTGAATCCTATCCATAGGCACAGAACTGCATAGGCATCAATGGTGCTCGATTCTGAGAGAGAGCACTCACTGTCATTACCCTTTCATGACTTCCAAGACGAAAAGGGACCCAAGAGCAAAAGCCTCCAATATCCATGGCAAGCCAGAGACACCAAGGGCTCCCGTCACTCCCTGATAACTCGTAGCACCTGCGTGTGGATCCCTGCAAGGAGGCATGAAAATTCATAGGACTCAAGTTGTCAAGAGTCAGACAGGTATGGCTACAGATGGAGGGGCTTTGGGGGCTCTAGGTGCATCAGCCTGGGGATACACCGGGCATCCAATACTCCTCCCGGCCTGTCGCTGAAAAAACAGTCAACGTTGATAGTCTGCAACGCTTCCCTTGAGCAACACAGGCCCCCAAGTCAAAGGGCTTCATGCCTGCAAACATCAAGTGGATTTGGGGTTTATCAATACGGTTCCATATCGATAAATCGATATCAATGCCTAATGATACACATGTAGCTGGAGAGGCATTGATGGCACTCGATCTCAAGAGCAAAAACTCACTCTCGATATCTTTCATGGCTTCCAGGAGGGAAGGGGGACTGAGATGGGAAGTCCACAACGCCTGTGGCAAGCCAAGGCACCAAGGGCTCTCGTCACTCCCTGATAACTCATGGTACCTCATTTCCCAATTGATGGGAGCGTGGCAGCAACGGAAAGAACAGTCTTATTTCACTAGTAATATTAAGGCAATACAGAATGTTACATTTAACAAAACAATAAGCTCACTACACGCTTGGTTTTAGCAACAGCCAAAATTAGCAAGGTAATGCACTAACCATTACTATATGAGAAAGAGAATAGTGATTAAGATACATCACCAATTGCCTAAAGACATTACCATCGTCCAGATCCGCAATCGCTGGCGAGTCCCTGTTGTATTGAGGATTTGGAGAGCCTTCCCAGCAAATGGGAGGTCTTATGTGCTGCGTCCACCTGTAAGTGAGGTCTCCAAAGTCACGGCAAGAGGTTCCAGCTTTTATAGAGTCAAATCAGCAAATCATGATGACTTGCATTTTCTTTGTGAGCGGTAACCTCTGGTGCGGTGTACTTCCCAACCATCTGGGACCGGGACTTGGCCGGAGTCCAGGCCTCAGATCAGTGAGTTCCCTTCAAAGTCAAAAACGTTTGCATGAGAGCCTACAAAAGGCTACAGTTTAATAAGCCTACCTGCAGGTTAGCATAAACATGCCAACATGTCCACATGCAGGTTAACATAAGCAGTTCTACAGGTGAGTTGTGTACTTCTACTACGGGAGCACCATATTCATAAGTAAGTCAACCCCGACTTAGGCATGTCGTTCAGCCCCTAGCAGTTCAACACCTTGTGTGCAGATCCCTGCAAAGAGGTATGGAAATCCACAGGCCTCGAGGCGTTGAAGGGACAGACTGGGATCGGGAACGCTGGGTGTATTGGCCTCGGGATACGTCAGGCAGCCGATCCTCCTCCCAGCCCGTCACAGAAAAAATGGTCCATGTCGATAGTCTGCAACGCTTCCCTTGAGCAACACGGGCCCTGAGCCAAAGGGCTACATGCCTGCCAACAAGGAGCGGCTTTGGGGCTTATCCGTAGGGTTCCACATCAATATGCCGATACCGAAGCCTATCGACAGGCTCAGAATTACACAGGTTATCAGGGGCACTCAATTCCGAGAGTAAGTGTTCCCTCTCAATGCCCTTTGATGCCTTTCACGAGTCAAAGAGACCTGAGAGCAAAAGCCACCAATGCCCGTGGGGAAGCAGAGGCACAGGGGCTCCTGTTACTCACCAGTAAGTCGTGGCGCCTTCCGTGTGCATCCCTGCAAGGAGATACAGAAATCCAAAAGCCTCGAGGCATCCAGAGATGGACGGGTATCGCTACGGATGCAAGTGGATCGTGAGCTCTGGGTGCTTTGACCTTGGGATATGTCATTCAGACGACAGTGCTTCCACCTTGTCGGTGAAAAGATGGTGTCAATAGTTTGTGACGCTTCCGTTGTAGCAAAAGGGGTCTCTGAGCAAAGGGGCTGCATGCCTGAAAGCAATGAGTGGATTTGGGCCCTATTGATAGGGTTCAATATTGAGATGTATCAACTAGATATCAATATCAAAACCTACAGATAGGCACATAAATGGAGAGACATCAAAGATGCTCGATCTTGAGAGCTAATTCTTAATACTTTTCTTGGCTTTCAAGAGGAAAAGGGGGCTGAGACAGAAAGCCCCCAATGCCGGTGGCAAGCCAAGGCACCAAGGGCTCCCGTCACTCCCTGATAACCGGTAGCACCTTGTGTGCAGATCCCTGCAAGGAGGTATGGAAATCCACAGACCTCAAGTGGTCAAGGGACAGACTGGTATGGCTACAGACTATCAGTATTTAGTGCCAGGTGTCTAGTTATCATCATTCTTCCCCTCTCTAAGAACAGCATGTAGTACGTACAGCCAAAGTAACTTTGCACAACCTGCAGCTAAGTAGCTCGTTTACATAATCACCTGAGTTCTGCTCATACATTGCTTTAGAGATTAAAAATGCATATTAAATCTACATGGCGAGCTGGATTATAGCAGATAATCCTCATTTCCAACATTTGCACAATTCAGCAAGCCCCACCTAGTTTACTGTCCATCAGTATTTTACTATCATTAAATTTTTGAGACATCTCAGAAATAGTTCTTAGCTTTGGAACTTATCAGTCACAGAGGTGATAATAGATCTTTACTCAAGATAAATAGTTGACTCTTGACTAAATAGATATGTACAGGGAAGTTGATGAAAATAGTGCTCAACAAGTTTCATTTAATGGAATGCCCCAACTAACATTGCCATTACTTGCAAGGGTAAACCAATTAAAAGCTACTTCAGTCTGGAAAAGCAGCATCTAAAGGGAGTAATGAAATCACTTTAAATAAATTATTTCAACCCAAGTTCTTCCATTTTCACAAGACCTGTTTTTTTTTTATTATTTTGCAGTCAATGTTAAACTAAAAGCATATTTCCAAATACACTCTGCAGTTCTTGTTTTTCTACTCCTAAAAAAATGTTTAAGATGATAACTACTTGTAAGGGCAATTTTGACCCCAAAATTTTAAATAATCGTATGTTCACCAGAAGAGAAATCAAAGAAAAAAAGAAGAGACTTTGACATCCCATGGTGGAGAAGTAGAAATATGACCTCAAAATCTCAGCTGGCACACAAGCACACTTCTAGGTAGCAAACACCAAGGTGTAAAATATGCAGAGTCTGAAGAACCGTTATAGAACTACAACTCCATTTTTTTTAAAAAAAAATGTGAAAACAAAGGAGAAAGAGGAGCATTAGAAGAGATTTCCCAAAATGGAAAATTCTCTGATTTTTAAGGCAGCACAAGCCCTTGGGCGGCCTTGCTTTGGAGTTAAGCAGTCTGAAAGGTTCCTGTTGTCCTGGGAGCAGTCCTCATGGCTGAGTGGAAGAATGGGATGGTTCTCATCAGGCCACCTTAAAGCCATAATGGACACTACATCCTTTGCCAAGTTCTTATTGGACCCATTATCTAAAATAACCATTACACTGTCAGCTACAACAGGCAGCTATGTGAAAAGCAGCATATTTACTTTTAATCAAAGATTTAATAAACTGAATGTTGACAAGGTGCCTACTCAAGGTCTTTTCCTCAGATTAAGAGGAACACAGTTCTCAACACACACAACACAACCGTTTCTGTGTTTATTATGAATTAATAGCCAATCAAGTTTTATCTCAGTAGTTTATCAGGAAAGAACATTTCTAACTCAGAACATCAACCTTTGCTTAGAAATTATTTTCCAAATTGACTAAAATAATTTGCAATCCAGACCCTTCATAAACAAAATAAAATAGTTCTGGACATTTCAGAATGTATCCATACTTAAGTCTTCTCATTTCCCTTCACCCGCCCACAATTTTCACAAGGCTGGCTTCTTCTTTGAGAAATGCGTCCAAAACAAAGATACAGTCTCCATGTTATGGGAAATGTTCCCGTTTTCACAGGTTGCACTGGTAAAGCAGTAAAATTAAAACAAAACAAACAAACAAACAAACACACACAAACAGGAAAGCCACTGGAAAAAAATAAGTTATTTCATCTACTATCACTTATTTAAGCATACATTTATGAAAAGAGTATTTTAATAAATGCTGAAGTTCTGTAACAACATTAATTTTACTTCTAACTTGCTAGTGTTAACAAATTCACTTTTGGCTAATGTAATAAAGCAGCTATGACTAGGTAATATTTTAATTTTGAGAAAATATTCAAGATTCAAAACTATTATATTAGAAACTCTGTTCCCAGTATCTACAAAATAATTATCAAAACATTTCTGACAGTGCTACAGTAAGTCCCCAAGTGAACTACTTGATCTAGAGCTAGAAACTAATTTCAAATTTGCCTGCTTAGGGGCATAGCTCGAAGAACAGTCTGTCTGAACCGACTGCAAAGTTGATACTGTAAGGTAAAAGAAAAGGAAGCTAGTAACCCAAAAGGGAAAAAGTTTCAGCAGTACAAATGACCCTAAACTACTCCATTAAACTACTCCTGTTGTTCAGGAAAGGAATCACATTTACAATATAAACAGAAGTAATCTCCACTCACATTATTCTGTCTCTTCTCTCCAAGACCTGCTCAAAACAACAGCTGTTTTTCTCGGGATTTTGTAGTCCATTAAGACACTCCATAATCTTAATTTCATCAAGCCAGATGCAATGGCTTTCTGTTACAATTTAGGTAACAGTTTAAACTGGTAACCTGTAGAGAAGCAATCCACAACTCATGGACCTCAATCAACATCGTATACTGCTGCCAGAGCATACTTAAATGTAACCACGTTTTATAACCAAGAATAACCAGAGTAACTTCACACAGCTAAAAAATTTTTAAAAACATTCTGAATTATTTGTTAGTTGTTGGAAAGGTGCCCAAAATACTATTAACACTTTAACACTGGGATCTCAGCTTGTCATTCAGTTAGTAAACCGGACTCAAGAAAGAGACACCATCACATGGTTGCAACCATTTCAATATTTAAGGAAGCACTACAAGTGCCCGATGTTTTTTCCCCCACCAGTCTCTCAGTTCTGAAGGAATTGCTCAGAATTTCTGAGATTCGGTCAGGCTCAGTTCTTTTCCATCATACAATGCTTGCAGTTGGTTTGATTCGTATTTCACGGATGGCTTTTCAAATTGTTTCCCAGGCTCCAGAGCATTCTGTCCAACTATTTTAAGATTCACAAATTTTATTTTCCAGGTGTTCTCTCTAACTGGACAGCGGATGAGTCCAAAAATTTGCTCAAAAACACCCAGACAGCTGTTGCCTCTATGTACTGTACCAGCCACTGCTACCAGCACCAACCCATGTCGAGACATTGTACACTTCAGTCCATCAGCATTCAAGTTGGGATTCAGCAGAAGATACTCTTCTTTAACCAACGAGAGCAGACGAAGGCTCACCATTTCTGCACCAACATATTCTTCCATGTTTTTTTCTAATGTATTGTAACAGAATTTCATTTTGGCATCCTCCCAGAAATGCTGTGGTCCCCATGTTTCTTCAGATTGTATACCCAACGGATGTTGAGAGTTCAGAAGTTCAAAGAACCACTGACAGAATTCTTCTCCTAGATCATGAACGTCATCATTTTGTAGCTTTTGGCTCTTCTCACGACTCTGCAATCAAGCAAATTTTTCTTTTTAGAATTTTTTATCCATGACATCTGAGTTTGTCATTTGAAACAGACTAAAATGATTTAAATTCTCATTTTAAATATTAAATATCTGGGACTAAGTACCTTAAGAAACAGGCATTAAGTATTTGGGATCAAGTGCCTGAAGAAACAACAAGGCGTAATCTCTCCATTTTTAATATCATCATAATCACAACCTCAAGGGTATTATATGTGGCTTTTTAAATTAAGGTTAGAATGGTACTGAAAATTTATCTTGACCTGCACTTTATATTCTGAGAGCAAAGTCTGGTTCTAGCAAAAAAAACACGGTAAGTTTTTTGAATAGTTTCCTCAAAGTCAGATTCTCACACTGAGGGACAAAATATCTGCTGTATAAAAAGGGTTTGTATAAGGAACTTATCTCTGGTCTTTATAATTCCAAAAGAAGGTCACAGAAAAATAAAACAAACCAACAAAAAAGATACAGACTCAAACTTAGAAATTAATCCTTGATCCAGGCAAATCAATTTACTTAAAAATGTGTTTATACCTAAGCCTTTATTCTGACTTTTTTCCCCGGTTTCATGCTACTTTCAATCTCTTCTTTACTGAATCTTTTAAACTTGCCAATTGTGTTATCTGCACCCTCTTATAGCTAGGAATAGCAAATGGTACTTAACCTTTTGACCATGTATATCCTGATCCTGACAGGATATTTCCAATTTACCTAGATATATTAACAGTGCGTGCAAACAAAATGCACAACTAATTCAGGAAGAATTGAAATTTGAAGAAACTACTGTGTTCCACATCCTTCTCATCACCATATCATGTGCCTGGATGTATGTCAGTTTGGTAGTAAAACTGCTGAAATTATAAAAAGGTGTTTGGTCACTTTCATGGTTGTAAGTCTTCCCCATATGTATAATTATAAGAAGTGCTCAAATCAAGGAAAATTATAGCTAATGTTATCTTTGCCACTGGGAAAAAAAAAAGTATTGAGCAGTCTCAGCTACTTTTCTAACTGTGCAATTGATCATTTAAAACAAACCAAACAAGGCAATATGGTGGGATAGAAGGGTTTCAAACATTTTCACACAAGAGCATATACCTCCCTGGAAATAAAGTAAATCATTATCAAATCCTTCCTGCAACACTCAATCTGCCGAGAAAGTATTTTACAGTAGTGACCCAAAGTAAATGTTTCTGTGAGCCAGTAAAACCTTAAAAAGAAGAGTCTGAAAAGGCTCGGAGATTCCTTGATGTGCCTAAAATTCTTGGGAAAGAAAGGGCTCATGAAAGAGAGCATGAAATTGTTTGAAATGGATCTTCCACTGATTGCCGTAAGTTACTTGTGCCCAGTTTTCTCGTTTTACAGAACACGATACAAACACACCTATATATTACAATAAAGATATAGAGGGTACTCCAAAATAATATTTAAGGTTAATGCTGAGCAGCATAGGCTAGCAATTGAGAAGGCAGGCTGTAAAATTTTAAAGCCAAACTCACAACAAGTAGCAAGTGCAAATACAAGAGAGGGACTGATGATCATGCTACTAAATACACACCAGGCAAGGACGGCAAACCACCCTAACAAGGTCTTGTTACTAAATGTGTACTGCAACAAAGTAAACAATATGATTTTTTTAAAAAATATATTTATTATGGGTCAAGTTAAAACATAAATAAATTCTTGATTGGAATTCTCCATTTGGATTGGTAGTTGCATTCTTGTTATGCGTACAACTAATATTTGAGAAAGGCTTTAACTTGCTCTTGAAATTAAACTCAGCTTGGAAGACACTTGAAGATGATGACCATGTGGAAAAGCATGCATGCAGCTGATGCTCAAATAAATACCCATGAGTTTTTATTTCCTACATATGTGCTTTGTTTATCCTCTGCTTTCTCTTACAGTAGGTAAAATTTAAGGTGACACACCATTCTACCTTTTTCACCTAAAGCCAATTGTAGAGTGAAATGTTTTTTGAACGAAAGTTATATGTGCAGGCCTTTTTTTTCATTCCCCCTTCTCTTTTTTAGTATCATCCATATTTTTTACTTTACAAGACAACTTTCTAGAAGTTCTAGAAGCATATAAAACAATGTTTACTAGAATGAAAGTCTACTTCTAGAATCAATTATTAAAATGTGTAAATTTTTACATAGTAGTTACAAATTGCAGTTTACTGAATAATAGTTTACTGCAGAACCAACATATGTCTCTGCTAGTAACTGGGTTTGGGCTAGCCATTTTTTTAAAAAACAAGAGCGCCACAAGGGTCAAGGCAAAAATAGAGGCCAAGAAATACACATGAGATAAGACAGACAGCTGAACTTACTCCTGAAGGCATTTCAAATACTTGAGAAAATGTAATTTGTTTACCTTTGGTCCCAGAACTTCAACACAGGCCAATATTTGAGAAATAGCCTGGCAAGAGCAAATATTTTTGTTTGTTTTTCCCCCAAAGTGTACATAAAACTAGTTTAAAATCCATCCATAGCTAAGTCACACAATCCTCATGGGTCTTGGTCGAGAGCTCAATGCAAGAGCTTGTGCAGAAGCGCGAGAGCTACAAAGCTCTCACTCTCCAGACGGTGGGGCTGTTGCCTGTTTATGTCTCTGTGCATCTGTACGTGCAACACACCAAAAAGCTCCAGTAGCTACTTGCAGTCACACGGCTGTCAAAAAGCAAGACTAATAAAAGACTGAAATTTCATTACATCACTGTAATCGCGCTAAGTGTCATTACTTCGGGCTTCAATTAACGTAACTGACATCTAGTCATGTTGCTTTAAGCAAAGACTGTGGGGAAATGGTAAATAGCATCAAACTGGTACTGCTACAAACTTTACATTTCATTTTACGAACGCACTACATACACTGCACTACACTAGCTATAAGGAATAAGAATCAAGATGGCCTACAGAAAGTCCTAGTCTGATTGCACTGTCTCTAGAAGTAGATCAAGTCCTTTTACAAAAGGGCTATTTTTTTCTCCCCTTCCCTAATGACATTTCAGTCCAAAGTCTGGGAGACTTTTTTGCCCTATGATCTACCATCAGCACCACCCTGTCTTGCACTAGGACATGCCCTGCTAATACTGCTTTTAAAGGTATGCCTCATATAGCTAAACTGGTAACCCCTGGTCCATACCAAAACTCATAGGAAAGCCCACCACACAGAAAAATGACCAGGAGCTACTTAGGGCTTCTATACCATTAACATTGTCGTTTTCAGCTGTCTTTGAATCCACAGATTTATCCCAAATGCCTTGGATTTTAACTTACAGAACAGCTTAACAATTAAAAGCCTGAAGAAGACCCCAAACACTAGGAGCAATATCCTTTACCAGACAATGCAGAAGACTGTTTGCAGCAATGCCTCGGCATAATAAGCTTCTAAAGGGCAACAGTAAGAGATTTCGCATCTTCTTCAAGAGCAATATTTACCCCATAAACGTAAAGTGACTGCGAAGCAGCACTCACCGCTGCACGTGGCTTTTTGCCCTCTGACTGTGAGGAGCTGGATGTGAGCTGCCCGTTCCAGTACCGCTTGGCATGATCAATGAGTTGGTGCTTCTCTGAGGAAGGAGGCACTGGAACTCCTTGTATCGCCAAATACTTAAAAATTATTTCTCGATAGACTTTCCTTCGTTTCAAAAGTTCTTCTGCACTTTGGCTGTAAACCAAAATTGCATGAATGGCTTCTGCAAACGAATAAATTACAGTTAGCAGCTGCTTTTCTCATGATTAATAGCTAAACTTATACTATTTCTTCAACTTCTGACCAAGATTAAGTGAAATGGAAAAACTTAAAAGAATATTTGTAAATGGAAGCCTGATCTAATTAGTTGATTGAATTAGATGGAGATGATGAATACTGGGAACATTGCTAAAAACTGGTATTCTTGGTATTGAAAACCTAGCAGAAGTCCCTTATACCACTGCCAGTATCTGTTCAGAGCAGATTATTAGGTGAGTAGCCAAATGAAATTAGTAATATTCTCCCAGTGGGTTGAAATTAATCATTATTTTCAAATCAAATTGCTAGTCTGTGTGATTTCAGATTAAAAACACATGGTTATTTTCAAAAATACGTGATGCCTTTTATTTTTCCTGTGAACAGTTAAATTGACTGAGATGCAGACAGAAGATAATTTAAGTAACAGCCTAGTGTCCTGTAGGCAAAAAAAAAAAAAAATCTAGAACCAAAACTTGGCAGATTTTAGACAGCACAGTTATTTGTCTATCTGGGCTTCTGGAGATTCATGGAAACAGATCTAAATCTGTTTAATTCCCTGCAGCCACATTAAAAGTTCCAACTTCATAAGGAAACACCATGTGTAATGGTATGAAGGCAGTGCACTAAAATGTAACTTGGGAAAATCTTCCAGAAGCTCTGTGGCAAAATCAGGAGACATGATAGGATGAAATCCAGTTTTTAAGTAGTCGTGGCAGCTACAGAGATCAGGTGCTTAGTGTTTCAGATATAGGAACTGCAGGCTTAAACAAGAGGCTAATAACTGGGGTGGAAAAGACACATCTTTTAGCTCATTCTCCGAGTCCCACAAAAAGTTAAGAAGGGAAATCAGACGCTGTCTAGCGCGCAGACTTTCAAACCCGCCCGGCTAGCGAGTGCCCTGGGCTTCACAGCCACT